TCAAGTCGATCTTGGAAAACCAAGACACATCATGTAATTGATCGAATAGATCGTCGATCCTCGGCAGCGGATAACGGTTCTTGACCGTCAGCTTGGTCAACTCCCGGTAATTAATGCACATCCGATGTGAACCATCCTTTTTCTTGACAAAAAGGATTGGCGCTCCCCACGACGAGCTACTAAGTCGGATAAAACCTTTCCCTAACAGCTCCTGAAGCTACGAGGATAACTCCTGTATCTCGGGCGGTGCAAGGCGATAAGGTGCCTTGGCAATAGGTGCCGCTCCCAGAACCAAATCAATCTGGAATTCCACCTGCCTCTCGAGAGGCACACTCGGTAACACCTCGGGAAAAACATTCGAAAACTCACTCACTATTGGAACCTCAATGATAGAACTCGATCTCTCGGAATCAACTCACGTATCCATCACATACGCTACAAAACCCCTACAACCCTGCTGTAGACTCTGTCTCGCCCTAGCGGCCGAGCAAAATGCAGACCCAGATTGGGTACCCTCGCCATATACTATAAGCACTCCCCCAATAGGGTCTCGTATGGTCACCAACTGATGCTTGAAGTCAATCATAGCAACGAATCGACTCAACCAGTCCATACCTACGATGACACAAACACCCCCCTCACAATCGGTACCAGATCTCTCGGAAACTCAACTCCAAAAATCTCAAGTACACATCCCCGGATCACATTAGTTGCAAACACCACGTGCTCATCGGCTATAGAGACTCTCAGAGGTCGACTCAGCGCCTCTCGTCGGATACTGATGTGAAGACTAAATGCTAAGGACACGAAGGATCGACTCGCACTCGAGTCAAATAACACCAAGGAAGGTACAGAACTTACAAGAAAAGTACATATGCATGACACAATATAAGAACAAAATAACTCAATTAAAATAATAAATAAACACATATTGGCCACGACATCAGGTGCTGCGCGGTCCTCCTCCGCTGTCAGCTGGAAAGCTCACCCGCGAGCCTTCGGTACTTCGGCCTTCACTGGCCGGCTCTCTGTGGCTTGTGTAGTAGTAGGGGCAGATCCATGTGTTGATCCCTGTAGCAGCTGTGGGCACTCAGCCTTCTAATGGTCGGTCTGGTTGCAGTGGAAACAAACTACACACCCCTTAGGGCAATCCCTCGTGATATCCCCTTCCTTGCCACACTTATAGCAAATACCAGCTCGACTCACCCCCTCACGACTCTTGCCATACTTTCCACAAGTGAGGCCCTTCTAGCCTCTAGAACTCAAATCAGCGGGCTTTACCCGCTTGGCTGCCGGCTGAGATTGTGCTGATCGCCTATCCCTCCCCTGAGACTCCGCCTCTTCTCTGGCCTGAGTCTCCAGCTCAATTTCCCTCTTTCGGGCATTTCCTGAAGCTCAGCAAATGTCTGGTATGTTGAGTTCGCCATAAACTCGCGAATATCCCTCCTCAATATACTCAAATATCGGCTCATACGTGCCTTCTCAGTAGACACGTGTTCAGGGCAGAACATCGCCCTCTTATGGAACATCCTCGTAATCACTATCACCGACTCTGTCCTCTGCTTGAGGGACAAGAACTCCTGGGCCAACCGTTACCTCTCCACCAGGGGAACATACTCATCTCGAAACATAGTAGTAAACCTCTACCAAGACACTACAGTGGGCTCTGTAGAAGTGAAGCTGGGTGTCACAAACTTCCACCAATCCTTCGCCCCCAAGCGAAGCTGGTTCAGCACGAACCATACCCTCAAATGTTCCAGATAGGAACAAGTGTTGAATCACCCCTCGATGTTGGAGATCCATCTCATCGCGGAAATTGGGTCTTAAGTCCCGTTAAACTCTGGTGGCTTCGTGTTGCTGACCTCCTGGTATAGCAACGAGTCACCCGCCTGTGGCCTGGCAGTAGCGACAACTGCGGTGGCTGTAGTAGTATCCGCCTCGGTAACCATAACGTAGTGCTCATCAAACATCTCAATCAAGGTGGTCATGATAGACCCAAACATCTCCTGGATGGCCTCTCGGATAGTTGCGACAACCTCCTCGTGAATCATCCTGCGAATTGCATCATTGCTAACTCCACTACTCTCAGGGTTGTGGCATTTACCCACCATGATATCTCTGAAACACAACATAAAATAATTAGAGACTTTCTCGAGTATACTCACACTCGATCACTCCCCCTACTTGTTCCTTAGTAACCCAATGATTCTTACTTGGATTGCTCACCGACCCGGTGCTTTCAGTAGTAAGTACCGGCCCAATACTACCTTCCACAACGCATCTGTAATCACCCAAGTCCTCCTCCTAGGATTCCGGATCGCAAGTACTCTATATCTCGCCGAACATAGGCTACTCTCATAAGTTCATTTCTGCTATATACTCGTACTCAAAGCAAATCACAGGTAGTAGTAACTCTTAGGCTAAGGCATCACAAATTAGGCCACTCTAGTCCTAAAATATGAAGTACCTAGCCTACTCTCTAACATGCATAACGTATCTCATAATATCTCATAAATATCTCAAATCACTGAAAGTAAGGGTATTTTGGGAAAATCACCGTTCGGGCGCTGGTTGATTGTACACATTGCTCTTTCTTGTTTTTCTCTTAGAAATTCTTACTCATTTTAGAAAAATTGTTTCTCTTGAAATGTTTTCTCAAATCCTCAGTTTGAGTCCAGACATACCCGAAGGTGCATCCAAATCTTTCAAACCAAGACTCTGATACCAACTTGTAACGACATAATTTTTCAACCAGAATTTTCAATTTTAAAACACATAAAACTCATATATTATATTTCATGAAAATCATAAGTATCTTAATGTCAACATAAATCCACAACAAAAGTTAATTCCCAGAATCCTCAAACATAATCTCGAACAGGTGTATACAATTATGCCGGTGCCTTCCTGCGATCCTCGAAAGTACCTGAAACACATAACACATAACACGATAAGCATAAAGCTTAGTGAGTTCCCCAAAATATCACGCACAAATAATTAGCCACTCGAGGCTATAGCTCTGGAAGACCCTCCGGTCAACGTGTCTTAGTGGGACCTTCCAGTCCCACAACTCGTTGGACCTTCTGGTTCGGTCTAAGTGAGGAACCTCCAGCCTCATAGTATGTTAGACCCTTCGGTCCGATCTAAGTATCATATAATATATCATAAATATCACACCAAAAAATTCATTACTCAAGTAAGCACATAAAATCCTCTGGTCACACATAAATACCACTCTAGGTAATGTATAGTGAGAAGACTCGCCTTGAAGCAAGCAAGCTAATAATCCTCGTATACGAATCACCGATGTAGCCTCCGCCTAATACATGTGGTGATTATCTCTAATTAGATCACAATTCTAATAAATCCATATTAACCCGTTTTAACTCTTGGTAAGGGTAAAAGACCATTTTATCCCTCCAAGATCACAGCTACTCACATTTGGTCAAAACTCTAAAAGTCAACCAAAGTCAAACATGAGTCAACAGTCCATGTTGACCCAGCTCGACGAGTGCATTAGGAAACCTCGTCAACTCATCTCGTTCCCTCATAGGCCTATGAAAAACAACTCTACTCGTCGTGTTGACCCGCTAACTCGACGAGTTACAACATGCTCAGACTTATCTGAACAAACCCTAATCGACTCGTCGAGTCAACTCACGGACTCGGCGAGTTCTTCCAGTTCATACTCCCATTCAGACGTTTTAGGGCAGATCTATCACTCCAAATACTAGATCTAGACTCCCTAGGCTCGAATGTCACATAAAGCTTCGATCTTTATGTTCATGCATGGCATATTTGCTCCATAATGCCATTACATGCTCCAAGAAAGATTAAATGCACATGCGATTGCCTCTAGCTCAATAAAGCTCGAATCTTTGGACTCTCAAGGCCTTCTCTAGTCCAGATCTGAGGTTCGAACCTCAAACCATGCTCAAATAACTCAAGGACACAAGATGATTGGAAGAAAACCCTAAAAACTCCCAAAAATGAGATATAATGAATATGTGGCCAAGATGAGAGCTATTTACCTCTGAATATAGGCTAATGACAGAAGAATACAAGATCCATAGCCTTTCCTCGGTTGGATCCACCAAGCTCCTCCAATCGTTCCTCCAAAATGCACAAGAATGCTGAAAATGGTCTCTCTCTCTCTCTCTCTCTCTCTCTCTCTCTCTCTCGCTGTATATACACACACACACACACAATGAAAGTGGTAGGTTAGGGTCTCTCTCTGTGAAGTGTGGCCGCACAAGGAGGCTATAAGTACCTTTAAATAGGTCCCAAATACGAGGATTTAGGGTTTCTCATTCCAGCGCCTACTCAGCGAGTCTACTCTCGGATTCGTCGACTATATCATTAAACTCACATGGTCATACTCTCTTCTGCTTGATGAGTTATAGCGCCAACTCCTCGAGTTGATCAATGATCCTCCAAGATAAATAATTAAAATAATATACATGGAAAACCGGATGTTTCACATTTTATTTCATTTATTTTATTTTATTTATTATATTTTAAACAAAACTTTACACAATCATGTACCGGAAACTTAACATCCACTACAAGAATAACTATCTATGGGGACGCCACCTATCCCGATGACAGATGTCGTCGCTAAAAGCAAGGCTATACCGAACACATGTCGTCGACATAGCTTTTTCCAACTTTGACTAATTTAGTTTGATCGGAAACGTTATGCAGACAACATGTTGTCTGAATAGCTTCGGCGTGAAACATAAATGTTTACATGGTGTTCTGAAATTCTATGCTGACGACATGTCGTCGATATATGTCACATCAAATGTAATTTACATTTATTTTTATTTTGTGGTGTCACTATGCCAGGTTGGTAATCCTCGTAAAAAGGCTATGGTGACGACTTATCGTCAGCAAAACCCTCTATTTTTTTCAGCAATAAAACAAAATGGCGTCATCTTTGGTACCTTATACCGATGATATGTCGTCTGCATAGGGTTTAATCCCATCTAAGACCAGAAATGTCAACGACTGCGTTCATTTTGCCTAGTTTCTCTCTTTCTCTCTTTTTGTCGACAATCAAACCTCTTCCGGTCACTCCCCTTCGCCGAAAACTAGTACGTATGCTTCTTGGTCATTCTATTCTTCCTAATTTTGTGATTGATCAAGTTTTTTATTCTAGTTTTGAGTTTTTTTGTCCGGTTGCATCTTTCACCTCTGATTTTGGGGTATTTTTTCGGGTTGCAGCCTTCATAGCCTTCACCATCATTGACCCTTCACCACCATCTACCTCTACAACTACCTACACCGGTCATATTGAGGTAAGATTTTGATTTCATGATTGTAAGTTTTTTCAATTAGGTTATCTGTTATAGTTCATCATTATAGGATTTCTCCACTGAATTTCTTTATGTTTATCATCCAAGTTTCATTTCTCTTTGGATTTGTTTCTGATAGTCATCATCGCATGTATTTTGGAGATCTCTCCATCTTCAATTTTGGTTTTGCAGATTTCATAGGTGGCTCATGTGATTTCATCCTTATTTTTCTTATGTATACGGACATTTTATTTAGCACTTCACCAAAAGATTGGGTGAGTTTTATTCCAAAGAGGATCAGTTGGAATCGTTCCCTCCTCACCAGGTGTTTCTTTAGCATTATCATTGAAGTTTATTTCATTTTTTGTTTGATTTATAGGATTATATTGTGGATGGTGTTGTATGGGGATATATTTATACTTTTTATTTCACCCCATATTCATGAATAGATAGATCAACAGAAGGGTGACTCTAATGGCAACTCTACTTATGTAATCAAGGTATATATATACCTAACTTCCTTTTTCTTTAAGTTGTTCTTGCTGATTTGTAGCATCATATGTTGTGCTTTGAAGGTGCAACTATTAGCATTAAAGAATCTTATTGGTGCTAACCTGAATGACATGTCAGATTCTTACGCAATTAACAGTTGTGGTATAGAAAAGCAATGTAGGTAAATCATAGTAACATTTGGTTGATTTTCATTAAGTTGTAACTTGTAATTACACATTTTAACTTTAAAGCCATAATGGTTACTTCTGTCTGATAGCTAAGACCAATTCTAGTTATGTTAATCTGCAACTCAATGGTTCATGGTTGAAGAAACCTAATGTGGGGAGAGGAATTCAATTTTTCTATGGATGAACTTCCTGTAAAGGTAATGTTAACTCTTATCCACAATAATACACACAGATAGTTTATGTAGTTATTATTATTAGTATTATTATTTTGAATTTTAACTATTACTCATTTCTTGACAGATCGATTTGTCAATCTATGATTGGGATATAATTTTGAGAAGTTTTGTTCTTGGTTTTGTAACAATTCCCGCTGAAACCAAAGGGCAGATATGTAATTATGTTTTATTGCCTCTTCTATTAGTCAATTCATCTTTTCATTAGTTAACTTTCCAAGGTAATTAACCAAAAATGTTAAATAAACATTGCTTCTTCTCAAGTTTGTCTCTAATTTAGAACAATTAAACACTCCACAAACAACTCCAGGTACCAATGATATGTTGCTTCACTTTTCTTTTTTTTTTTTCTTTTTTTTTTTTTTTTTTTAACACCAAAGAGCTGTTGTAGTTGGAAGAAATATTATTATGAATATGGGAAGTGTTACAATGCGAGAGATCATGATGTTCTTGATTTACCCAAAATACCCCCGACCCAACAAACGAGCTCGAGGAAATGAAAACAATGAAGATTTTGATTAATCTTTTTGTTATTTTGAACATGAAGACTTGTTTTTTTTGTTATTTTTCTATTTAGTAGATTTTTAAGTGTAATGGTTATGAAATGTTAGATATTATTCTGCATAAACACTGCATATGTATTGGTTTGTTTTAAAAAACAGGTTTGGTAAATATAACAAATCTGTGAAAAGTATTAAAAAAAACCTTATAGAGACGACATGTCTTCGGTATAGATTTTACCTGTAAAAACTGTTGGAAACTTTTTCCCTACGACATGCTATCAGTATAGATTTATAATAAAACTTTTTTACCTCGAAAATCTTTCCCGATGATCCTTTATAGACGACAAGTCGTCAACATAGGTGGATCTGTACCGACGACATCTATAACGACGACATTTTGACTTTTACCGATGGAGTTATACCGACAACTTTGTACGGTCGACAGTATAGGTTTTACCGACGACATGTCGTCTGCATAAGTGTTGAAAAAGTCGTCAGTATAGGTCTCGTTCCTTGTAGTGATCAACTATCGTCCAGCATCTGAAAGTATCAGATCTGGCGGCAGTGGATATGTGGTTATAAAACCCGATCAAATAGGGATCGATTAGGACATCATATTGTTGGATAGAGTAAATAGAGGATTCATCCGTATAATTAGGGTATGTGGTTTAGGGTCGACCCATTTAATGGAATTTTGATATGTGGTTTAGACGACCCATTTATGATTTTTTATTGCTACATAGGTTTTTATATTGCCAATGTTAAAGAACGTAGGGAGTGGTAGTGAGAGAAATTTAATAGGTTTTGTTTTGAAAAATAAATAAATAAATAAATGAATAAAATCCCAACCAAACACAGTTAATCTTTTCATTCTCTCTCTTCTCGTTACTACATTTGCGATTCGTTGCTGGCGAGCCCCTTAGCGACTCATAGTAGATGGTGTAAATATTGGTAGCGAGTGTTTGGCGAGAGGGGTGACGACTGTAGCCTAATACTGCAAATTAAAAAAAAGTAATGCTCTTAGGAGGTAATACTTTAAAAAAAGTCTCATTTTATTGAAATTGGAATCCACATTACTGAAATAGCAATGCATTCTTCTTTGCTCTTCAAAATTCTTGCAAGTTGTAGAAATGGTCCTTCAAGTCTTTTAGTTTTTTTTTTTTGTTATAGAAACGGTCTTTCGACTCTTTTTCTTTATTATTTTTACAAACAATCCAAGCATTTATTTCATTTTAAATTTTGGTGTTTTGCTTGCTATTATCATGCATAATTTTCCTTTTTATATATGAGATTTTCTACCATACATCGTTTTTTTATATATAATAACTATTATTTGTAGGTTAACAAATAATAATAATAATAATAATGCTAACCTACCTATTATATGTCATTCTTAAAGTTTTTTTTTAGAATTTTCTCCAAAATATAATTTTTTTTTCCAAACACTCATGTTATTGCTTTTTTTCCTCATACCAAAGTGGAGCTTTTTCAAATTGGTTCGAGGGTGTTTTCCGCCTGTTTTATAATTAGTTTTTTTTTCCACTAATCTAGTGGTTTATTGGTTTTAATATGTAACTCACATCCTTTAAACGTGCTTTATATTTTTTTCATACTATATAATGCTCATACTTGTCGACATAGCATGATTGTATTATTTTTTGCGATTACTAACTTTTCTTTATAGTATTAATAGATAAAAATCATTTTATTTACTCTTTAAAATATGACATAAAATTACGACATATATTTTTGTCTGTCGTAGTTCGTCTTTCAAGGAAAGCATTTTTTTAATAGTGAGTTGTGTGTCGATGGATGCTATTTTTTTATTATTTTTATAATTCGGTTGTTGAAATTAAAAATATAATTTTAGATGGTTAATTTACAGACTTTTTAATTCAAAAATATTGTTTTTATCACGTATTCTATATATTAGTAGGTGACTAATTTTGGTTATATATAATGATATATAGAGAGAAAAAAAGACCCAGAAACACAGAAGTACAGGCACAGATACATAATATGTCATATAGAGATACAATACACAAAATGTGTCATATAGAGATGTGGATACACACAATGGTGATCGATCTTCAACACCATTTATAGACTATCTGATCAAACATTTTCTCCTTCACTCTTCTCCCCAATGCAAAATTGTGATGTTCATCATTTCAATCGATAAAAACACAAATTTATTGCAGTTAGCGTTCCATTATGGATCACTACTTCCAGAAGGCGGCGCATGGTGTCCATTCTATATTGGTTTTAACTTTTAATAGTGACATTTTCAGGCTAGCAGTTCGGACACCCGCCAAAGCTTCAACGAGTTATCCAAACTGCCACTGTAAACTATCCATTCTTCATCTTTCCGATCATCATCATCATCATAATCCTCATTCCGATCTTGAACTGCGAGACATTTCACCGGACCAGTGTGACTATTCAAGACCGACAAACAAGTGTGAACGCCGCTACCTTCACTCCGCCACACACAGATGCTGTTGTCCGCCGACCCACTCAACAACAAGCTTCCGGCAGTCGCAAGACAAAGCACTGCAAGCTTGTGACCCCTCAGAACTCCGCCATGTGACAACGATTGCTTCTTGCGTTCCCAAAAGTTCACCAATCCATCGGAGGATCCCGCGTACACGGTGGCCTGAGAGGCGTTCACCACCACAGACGTGACAGCGCTGTCTTGATTCAAAAGCGTGGAAACCAAAAGGAGTTTTTTGGTCTTCCCGACGAACTCCCTCCGCCACACCTTTACCGTTCCGTCGGCGGACCCCGTAAAAACCAAACCGGAAAACCTAATGACTACGGAATTAATGGCGTCGTCATGAGCATTTACAGATTCTAAACATTTCGAATTCGAAATCCTCCAAACTTTCATTGTTCTATCCCACGATCCAGAGTACAACAACCCTTTTTCTTCATCCAAACACATGCAAGAAACAAGATCATAATGCTTGATCCATGGAAGGTTACGATGTCGTCTTGCTTCAATGTAATTATTAGGGTTCATAGAGCTCTTGATGTAATCTTTTGTCGAGGGTAAATTACCGATCCGTTTGTAAGCTTTTTTCTTCTTATCTGAATACTTCCAAACCCGAATCTTCCCGTCCTCGTGGCCGGTAAATATCCGGTTACGAAAAACAACGATCGCTTTCACTAAACCACTACTCGATTTGAAACCTGAAAACTCCATCAAATTCTTCCACACTCTAATGTTCTTAGAATCCGAACCTGTGTACAACAAATCCCCGGACAATGCTAACGAATAAATATGACCCTCTTCACGTATCAAAGACCCGATCAAGCCAGTGTTGTAGATGATACCATCTTCTCCATTGCTATCATGGGGAAGAGTCCAAGGAGATTCGGAGTAGGGCGATGGTATATGGTTGATTGGAGACATGAAGGAGACCGGCGATGAACATGAAGACATGACAGGGCTAGGTAATGAGGCGTTGCTACTGCGGTGATTAAAATTGTTTTCGGAGTTTTCTGGTTGTTGGTGGGTGGTGATGAAAACGTTTGGTTCTGAGCTGTGAAGGACAATGGCGAGTTTCTTTCGGACATTGTTTTTCATCGAAAAGAAGGTTTTTCCAGCCATTTCTTTCGGCATTTTGTTTAAGTTGAAATATAGATCGACAGAAGGAAGCTGAAACAGTTGTGTATGTTTTGCAATGATGATGAAGGAACAAACGAGAGAGTATGTTTGAAAGAAAATGTGAAGCTCACATTTATAATTGGATTAGTGCTGTGAGAGTGTGAAAAGTTGGAGTCTGGCAGTCTGGGTAGGCTAAAAGTAGGTGTACCATTATTGGAAAGATCCCACACGTGTCCTAGCTTTTTCTTTATGTTCACCGCCCATAACTAAAATAAATTTAACCTAGACCTAGGGTTGTCGAATATTAACCACGTTGAATTTCTTATTATTTATTTATTTTTTGATTTGGAAACCGTAAATAATATATATAAAATGGAATAGGCAGGGTGATCTCATTTTGGTTTTGGTTCAATTTAAATGAGTTTCTAACCCAACATGAATATGTTAATATTTCTAATCAAACTAACTTTTTAGATAAATGAATTATCACCAAATTGATCTAATTATATAATTTTTGACCAAGTCTACTATGTAAGTGGTTAAATTTGAGATAACCCATTTAAAATAAAAACATTTGACTAAAGATTATATCATATAATTTAGTTTTAAACCTAAATAAAGTTTCAAAGTATGATAAAAGTATAATCTTAA